CCCGCGTCAAATCACGCTTCCGTGCGCGTCTTACAGACTGCAACTTACAATCGCAACTTCCTCGTGCTTATTCCGTTCGAGACGAATTTCACAAAATTGGTCAGCTCCCGACAGCATCAGGTGTTTTATTAATGGTGAGTATAATTATTTATTTATTTATTTCAATGAATTTAATCGATTAGATATCATAATATGTAGGCTATGATAGGCTATTATAAATCAGGTTGGTTTGTATTGGTGACATAATATGTAAATGATATGCGTGCGGCCCGCGAGACTTGCTCTTGGACCATAGTGCGGCCCAGTGGAAAAAAAAGGTTGAGAACCACTGGTTTAGATAAATCATTCAGAAGGGTTTGACCAAACTGTTAAACAAGGTTATTTACAAATCATCCAAACACCCGATTCATTTCTAATATTATGACTAAGTAGTATTAAATTGTAAAGAAATTACAGATCCATCTTTGAAATTTGATTGGTTAATAACTTTTGACAACGTTGAATTCAGGTGCGAAAATAATTAATATCTATAGCGCATAAGCACAGAGAGATTTGAGAGCGCACAGGACACAGTTTGAGTGAGAGGAGAGACACGTTTTAAGTGCGTGCACTCTCTCCGGGCGAGAGCAGCGTGTATCTGAGCGGTTTTGTGCGAGAGCAAGGGAAATCCGCGCGCGAGCGGAGATTGTATTAATGTGCTTTCGCGCTACAATAATGCGCTCACGACATTTGTCAGTAAAATAACGCCATAATACACAAAGTACTTTATTGGCTTGATGGTGTTAGATTGAATCTCATGGCAGGAATAATGCATTCAGTCTCTTACCTAGATCCTGTTAGAAGATATCCATTTTGTCTGGTATCCAAAACAAGTCAGGAGAGTTTTGTCTGATACCCAAAATCAGCAACACTGCATTTTGTCTGATACCCAAAACTGTACTAACTAGTGCTGTCAAACGATTAATTGCATCCAAAATAAAAGTTTTTGTTTACATAATATATGTATGTACTGTGTATATTTATGTATATATAAATACACACACATGCATGTATATATTTCAGAAAAATGTTATTTTTAAATATTAAATATATTTATTTATAATATAAATTATATGAATATAAATATAGACATGTAAATACATGAAAATATTTTCAAAATATATACTGTATGTGTGTGTATTTATATGTATAGTACATAATAAATATAGACAGAACACACACATATATTATGCAAACAAAAACTTTTATTCTGGATGCGTTTAATCGCGATTAATCGTTTGACAGCACGAGTACTAACTAAAAGTCTTCTATCAATCTGAGAGGAAGCCAGGGAGGACCAGGAAGCAGGAGATGAAGTTACGATGATAAAAATGAGCAGGGTTTATTGAGTAATCTTAGTTGTGTATATTTTAATGCTCAGACTTTATCTGAGCAGCACAAATCCAACAATTGTTATATCAAACTGCTTCAGAACGACATCTCAAAAAACCTTGAAATGGAGACATTCCCTCTTATCTCTTATTCATGAAGACAAATATTCCATGAAACACAACAATCATTTAGATAAAAGATTAAACAAAAAAAGTATTACGTTTTATAGACGATCAGTTTATTGAGTAATCTTAGTTGTGTATATTTTAATGCTCAGACTTTATCTGAGCAGCACAAATCCAACAATTGTTATATCAAACTGCTTCAGAACGACATCTCAAAAAACCTTGAAATGGAGACATTCCCTCTTATCTCTTATTCATGAAGACAAATATTCCATGAAACCCAACAATCATTTAGATAAAAGATTAAACAACAATAGCAAGCATTGCAAGGGCGAGAAAATAAGAAGTAATATAAAAATATAATAAAAATGGCATAAATAAAAAAAAAGTATTACGTTTTATAGACGATCAAATGCTAAATAATATAAAAGATTAATAATAAAACAAAATGAATTAAATGAAGAAAATAAAACACAAAAAGTTTTAGAGTACTTTATTGGCTTGAAAGTTTTATTTTGATTAGGTTAAAAAATAACTAAAAAATACAGCTAACTAACACAATAAAAACATGATAACAATAAAAAACATTTTTGTAATTTTCAAAAGGTTAGTTAGTTGTATTTTTTAAGTTATTTTTTAACCTAATCAAAATAACCCAACTGCAGTTTGATTGAGATTAACTGGAATGCACAATGAAAAAACATAATTTATGAAAATTGTTAAAAACGGAGTTTAACCAATTGTTTATCTATATTATAAAAAAACCTTGAAATGGAGACATTCCCTCTTATCTCTTATTCATGAAGACAAATATTCCATGAAACACAACAATCATTTAGATAAAAGATTAAACAAAAAAAGTATTACGTTTTATAGACGATCAAATGCTAAATAATATAAAAGATTAATAATAAAACAAAATGAATTAAATGAAGAAAATAAAACACAAAAAGTTTTAGAGTACTTTATTGGCTTGAAAGTTTTGCATAAAATATTTTATTTTTCAAAGCATCAATATTCAAAAATAAAATAAAATGAGCATAATACAAGAAATTGCAACATACTGTAAATATTACACAAAATAAATGAATGAATGAAGCTGTGGTTGGTTTCTATTTGCAGACAGATGCGTAACTGCCAGTAACACTACTTTTATACTTGCATTTCTTCTGTTCTTTATAACTTGTCTTTCTGTCTGTTCCTCTTCCTCTTAGATGTACAGTGGCATCTCTGTTGACTCTGGCCCTCCATGGAGACCTGCTTTATCTCACAGAGGTCATGGAGGACCTTCTGCAGAGTCTGATGGACCAGTCCAGCAATGCAAATCCCAAACTTCTCCTGCGCCGCACAGAGTCCATAGTGGAGAAGCTTCTTACCAACTGGATGTCCATCTGTCTGTATGGCTTCCTCAGGGTCCGTCCATACATCCACTCTGTTGTGGATTTAGAAAGCACATGTTCTCTTCAACTACTCATGTGTCCTCACAAATGTATAATGTTTCCTCCATAGGAATCAGTAGGACAGCCTCTCTTCCTGTTGGTGTCAGCTTTGACTCAGCAAATTTCGAAAGGGCCGGTGGATTCGGTGACTGAGAAAGCTCTGTACACTCTTAGCGAGGACTGGCTTCTCTGCCAAGCGCAGGACTTTGAGGCCTTGGTTAGTATTTCCTCTTTTACTGTCTCTTTTATGCAATGAGGAAGTGTTTGCAAAAACAAACAGTTATGCAAAGTACTAACTTTAGAAATACCTTTCTGTAATTTGCAAGCCACATTCACATAAAAAAAATTCCCCATTTTAATCAAAAACACCAAATATTTTCCTTCCCAAATGAACCGTTCAAAAGTTCGATGCAATTTTTTAAATTGTTTTTGAAAGAAGTCTCTTATGCTCCCGAAGGCTGCATTTATTTGATCTAAAACACAGTAAAAACAGTAATTTTGTAAAATATGATTACAATTTAAAATAACTGATTTCTATTTTAATATATTTTAAAATGTAATTTATTCCTGTGATTATATATCTTTGTTAAAACCGTGACATTTGATACAGAACTCTTTGATGAACGGAAAGTTCAAAAGAGCAGAAGTTTCTTGCTAGCTGTGTACATTTTAAACCTCTTGCATTAGATGCTCAGAAGCTTCTGCTTTTTCTGTTGCCGTCATGTCCATCCTTAAACCACAGGAAGGCATCCTGTAGCTTCGTTGCGCAACATTTCTTGCACAAGTGCTTCAGGCATAATTTTCTGACTGTTGTGCTTCTTTCTTACATGTGTATGAGCCATTGTTAAAAGGATAGTCATTTACTAATAGTTGTTCCAAACGTGTTTGAATTCTTTCCTCTGTGGAACATCAACGAAGATATTTTGAAGAATGTTGGTAACCAAAAGGCTGCTGGTCCCCATTGATTTCCATAGTATGGAAAAAATATTGAAGTCTATTTGGGCCAGAAACTGGTTGATTGCCCACATTTTTCAAAATATCTTCTTTTCTGTTTGGCAGAAGAAAGAAATTCATACAGATTTGGGACAAATTGAGGGTGGGAAAATGATGACAGAATTTTCATTTTTGGGTGAACTGACGTAATCTTTAATGTTGGGCTATAGAGAATTATCATTTTTTCCCATCATTTTTTGTTCCTGATTCCTTCCTGATGGGCAATTCTCATATTGAGTGTGGTTGGATGGTTGGTTTCTAGCAGTTTTTTTCTCATAAACACACTTGTGTGGACAAGAAAACCGGAAAGATTAATGATAGTTTGTGGACAGAATCATGTGACAAGGCCATCTTCCCCCCAAAATCACTAGCAGGCTCTCACGGTTAGACTAGTGTGACCGTTGTGCTTCTGCATTTTGCTTTCTGCAGTGATATCAGTCCTGCACAAGCCTTCCTCTCACAAAACTGGACTGTACCTGTATTGCCAAGCCAGTAAATGCCATTTCTCCAAAGGAAGATATTTGTGTCAGAAGATGGTCTTACTCATAGTTTAAAATTGTATTCTGCTGCTTTACAGGAAATTACAGTGGCAAAAAAAGATGTATTTAAACTGCATAGTCTTATGCAATTGTGCATTTTTTTAAAACGGCCATTCTAAGTAATTTAAGTCGATAAAGTATTTTTACAAATCTGACTCAATGTTATATATGAAGAGTTCATTTGCAAAAACAGATAACTCCGTT